GTGCCAGCAGCTGAGGGGTCCGAGGCTGTGGGTCAGAGCGACCCGCTCTCAGGTCAACGCCGCATCCACCTGCCAGCCGCCCGGACACACAAGGCTGCCCGTGCGTCACACCAGCAGACCTGCTTAATCTTGAAACCATTCCTCCATCTCCTGCAAAGCATTAAGATACTTACAGACTGCATCCACACTCGAATGCGTATGTGTGGCGCCAGGGGCAAGGCGGGGCGCACAGACGGTCCATGCGCGGCCACTCTGAAGAACGGTGCCCCGGGGGCTCTGGCTAGGAACACTGAGATGCAATCTCATCTGTTAAATTTGTCTAATTTCTGTGTCTGGGTTCTGCCAGAACTCCACCTACCGTCCAGAGTGGAACACTGCTGCAGCCACGACTTCCCGAAGATTTGGTCCAGTCTCTCACCGTGGCGCACCACCAAAATGCTCTTCCTCGCTGCCGTGGCCTGGAGCGGCGGAGAGAAGGGCACGTGCGCTTTAACACCCACATGGTGAGACTTGCCCCACACATCTCCCCTCATCCCAGGGCTGGACTGGGCGCCACCTGCCTCCCTCCTTGTGCAGCAGCTCCTGCCCGTGTCACCAGAGCCACGACGGTGAAGGGGACGAGGAATTGCAGGTGGAGAGCGCTTCAATTTCTGGCGACTTTTAATTTATGGGCATTATCGTGTACACAGGAAATGGAAAGATGGTTTAACGACCCACCCCACAGCCCATCCAGTGTCTACTCTCCTGTCCTCCAAGCCCTCACCCCTTGTCTCGGTCCCTTCAGGCTGCTCTAATGATGTGCCCTGGCTGGCTTAGGAGCAACAGGGATTTACGTCTCACAGTTCTGGGGTCTGGGAGTCCCAGGGTGCCCAGGGTCAGCGTGCAGTGCAGCTGGGTGAGGGGCTCTTGGTGTCTTTCTCATCAAGTCACTAATCCGAGTCATGAGGGCTCCACCCTCATGACCCAACCACCTTCCAAAAGCCCCCACCTCCTCATGTATCACATGAATCAACAGGATTTCACCATGTGAATTGGGGGGGGGCACAAACACTCAGCCCACAGCATCCCTCCACGGTGACTTCTTAGGGCATCATCAGTACCTGTCTAAAAGCAACAGTATGTGTACACATAACGTTATAGTGATGTACAGTATTATAGATTATGTAATGCACCTTGTATGATAGACGTGTGTAATCAACGTGCGTGTGTGTATACATATACATACATAAATATATAGATCTTCCTTGACTCATGGTGGGGTTATGCCTCCATAAACCCATCGTAAATTAAAAATCTCTTAAGTCAAACATGCATTTAATACACCCAACCTACCAAACATCATAGCTCAGTCAACCTGAACTTAACCGTGCTCAGAACACTTTCATTAGCCTGAGGTTGGGCAAAATCACCCAACACAAAGCCTGTTTATAACAAAGCGTTGAAAGTCGTGTGTAATTGATTGAATTCCCAACGGAAAGTGAGAAACAGAATAGGGGGCTCAGTCCGGCACGGCTGTCAGTGCGTCGGTGGCTCGCCCTCATGATTGCGCGGCTGACGGCGAGCGGGGCTGCCTCTGCCCCGCAGCACGAGGGAGGATCGCGCTGCGTATCGTTAGTCCAGGGGAAGAGCCACACTCAAATGCAATGCAAGTATTCAAAATTCCACCGAATGCATGTTGCCTTTGCACCATAGGAACGCTGAAAAACGGTCAGTCGAACCTTCTGTACATATGTCTTTCTTTTCTTTCTTTTCTTTCTTTATTTCCTTCTTTCCTTCCTTCCTTCCTTCTTTCTTTCTCCC